CCAGCTGGAGCCCATGACTGCCGATCCCAGAAGGATCTGCCTGCGGGGCGTGGGGCCCGAGAGCTGCTGCAGCCACCTGGTGGCTGGATTGCTGCCACCGAGCCCCTCCCCAGTGCCCCCCTTACAATGAGGGCCCTTACAGGCCCTCCCTTCTTTCTGGCGCAGATGTGGGGTTGCGGAGGGCCCGGGGTGCTGTGAGACGCCCGTGCACGTCTTAGCTGGGGTCTAGAGCCCACGCGAGGGAACAAGAGTGCCTTACAGGGGAAGTGCCCAGCTCCTGAACTTCCATGAACTTCCACAGGGAGTCAGAGTGGACACAAGAGACCACAGTGGAGCCACAGCCCGGATGCTGGCCAAGCAGTATGGACACATGAAGATCGTGGGGTTGATAGACGCTCACTCGCCTTCTCTGCCCAAGAACCTCTATCGGAGCCCAGGTACCTGCTCCTGTGCCGCTGGGGTCCTCTGCTGGGGCCCTGCTGCCAGCTCCCACCGGCCCCGCTGAGGTGTGGCTCCCATTCATCAGTCTTTTATTGCTTTTAGATTTGGGGTCACAGAAGATCTTTCCCTGTTTCCTGGTTGTACAAGAATTCACCCATTTTCTTCTGGTACTTACATGGTTTCATTTTTTATGTTTAGATCTTTGATCCTTTGTACTTTATTGTCATGCGTGGCGTGAGGTGTGGTGTTCTCAGACGGCTTCCCCGTTGTCCTGGCTTCATTAAACTATTTAACAGTCCATCTTTGACCTAGTGATCTGAGAGGTTGTCTTTGTCATGTATTCCGAATTTCCATCTGTTCCCAGGTCTGTTTCTGGACTTGCTATTCTGTTCCCCGGGTCTGTCTGTCCACACACCAGACCCACACTGTTGACAGCTTGCAGAGGCTTTTTGTAGTACATTGGACTGTCTGGTCGGCCAATCCCCCTGCAGCTTTCCCTTTTCAGTGTTCCCTAGTATTGCTCGTGTATTTTTCTGTGTAAACTTGAACATCAGCTTGTCTAGCTGCTTGGAAACCGTGTTATTGAGACTGGCAGATTTGTAAGTCAACTACCCCTTTATGCTTTTGAGTCGTCCTCTGTAACAAGGGACGTCTTTTGTTCAGGTGTACTTTTGTGTCTACAGGAGAGTTTAAAATTTTTCCTCCTAGACATTGTGCATATAACTTTTTTTTCTTCCTAAGTGTCTTTCTTTGTTGCATGGAGTTTCACTGCCTTCACGTCCTCTGCCTATTGTCTGAGTGTGAAGGCTGTTGGCGTCTGCTTGCCAGTTTTATTTTATTTATTTTATTTATTTGACAGAGAGAGAGCGAGAGCAGGAGCACAAGCAGGGGGAGTGGGAGAGGGAGAAGCAGGCTTCCTGCGGAGCAGGGAGCCCAATGCGGGGCTCGATCCCAAGACCCTGGGATCATGACCTGAGCTGAAGGCAGACACTTAACTGACTGAGCCCCCCAGGCGCCTCTGCTTGCCAGTTTTATATTCTGCTGCTCTACTGAATTCTTTCATTGCTTGAATTTATTGATTTTCCAGGGCTTTCCATGTATGCTACCAGACAGGCTGCCCACAGAGATAGATTTACTGCTTCTCTCTGACTTGTGTACCTCTGATTTCTTTCATTTAGTTGCACTGGCTAATACTTCTCGTAAGGGGTTGAATGTGTTGGGGACAGTGGGCATGCACCTCATCCTAACCTTAGTGGAAATGCCACCTTAGGTGAGATGCTGGCTTTAATTAAGGGTAAGGTGTACATGTCTTCTCTCATGTTAAGAAAGTATCTGGCATTTTCTGTATTCCTGACTGTTTTTTACAGGAATAAGTGTAGAATTTTGTCAAAGGCTTTTTCAGCATCTACGAAGACAACTGTTAATTTTCTCTTTAGATCTACTAATAGAGTATATTAGTGAATTTCCTAATAATGAACCAACTTTATGTTGTTGGTATAAATCCGATGTGGTGTATTTTCTTAATGTGATGTTGGATTGTGTTTGCCAGTTTTTTATTTAGTGTTTCTGTATGGCTATTCATTTATAAATGATACTGGTCTTTGATTCTGTTTTATCGGGTGTAGGCATCAGTGTATCTCAGAGAATTTGAGTCTTCCTTCCTTTTTTGTGCTCTGGAACAATTTATACAGCATGGATGCCCTGTGATTTTTGAAGGTTTGGCAGGATTCTGTGAAACCATCTGGACCTGGTCTTTCTTTGTGGTACGTTTTTCTGTTTCTTCCATAGAAACTGGTCTGCTTATGTTTTCTCATGTTTCATGGGGGCCAGGTATGGTAAACTGCATTTTCCTAGGAAATCCTTTCCTGCAGGATTTCAAACTTCAATTCACACAGAGGTCTGCAGAACCGTTTCTCTGTCTCCTTCTAAGAAGTTCCAGTGGTTATTTTCCTGTATCGTTTCAGTCTCGCCTGCCTCCCGACTCAATCCTCTCTCTCTCCCCTTTCTTGTTCAGTCTTTGGTGGTTTTCTCACTTTCCCGCAGTACTGCTTTTCCACTCAAATGTCTTCTGCCTTGAGCACCTCGTGACTGAGTCTTCATTTTAAAAAATTTGACCTTTATTTTGTTTTGTTTTGTTTTAGCGGTTTACAAGCTTCTCAGAGGTCATCACTTGCATTCTTTTTTTTTTTTTTTTAAGATTTTATTTATTTATTTGACAGAGAGAGACACAGCGAGAGAGGGAACACAAGCAGGGGGAGTGGGAGAGGGAGAAGCAGGCTCCCGGCCGAGCAGGGAGCCCAACGCGGGGCTCAATCCCAGGACCCCTGAGATCATGACCTGAGCCGAAGGCAGATGCTTAACGACTGAGCCACCCAGGCGTCCCCCCTTCCTTTTTTTTTTTTTTTTAAAGATTCTGTTTTTAAGTCATCTCTGCGCGCAGCATGGGGCTTGGACTCACAACCCCAAGGTCAAGAGTTGCCTGCTCCACTGACTGAGCCAGCCAGGTGCCCTGTTGACCTTTGTTTTCTACCTCTTTCCTGAGTTCCATTTTCCTTTCTCACCGTTGCGAGCGTGTGCCTGTGTCTTTCTGTTCTCAGTTTTGAATTTCTGAACCAGGATGCTTTCTCCACTCTCCACACTTGTTTAAGGATGTATTATTCGTGCAGAGTGTCGTGTTAGCTTTCTTCTACCTCTTTGGTGGTGGTGGTTCGGAGGGAGGGGCGTCTTTACTCGCTGCGGTGTTTTGCCCCCGGTTCCTGTGTCCTCCCTGGAGTAGCTGTGTGTGGAGAGGGCTGGAGCTTCTGGGCTCAGCGGCCTGGCTGGTGTGAGCATCCTGCTTCAGGACTCCCTCCCCAATGTCTCCAGGGGAGTCCTTGCTAGATGGTCCTTTTTTGGTTGTTTTTGTTTTTGGAGGGGGGTGTAGTGAGGCCAGGCCCTGTGTGTCCTTGCTATGTTTTTGTCTTGCCAGATCCTGGAGTTCCCCCACTGGCTTTCCTATTCACTGCTCAGTTTCCACAAGGTGTCTGCCAGGAGTGGGGCTGTTCTGCTCCGTCATGTCCCATGTGCATTTTTAAGTTGCTTCTCTGGGGCTGTGCTTTCCTCCGCCAGGACGATTTTTCTGCCACAGGATGGACTTTTTCTGGGAACACGGCACTTCTGTCCCCTTGTCTCTCTCCGGTGTGGCTTTCTTCTAGACCTGCTCACTCTCTGTGGAGACTAGGTGTGCAAGAGCAAGAAGTCTCTCTGCGAGAAGAGAAATGGACGTGGCTTTTCTCCACAGGAGCGAGGAACAGGGCTGTTGGGGGTGCTCTCTGTTGTCCCACTTCTGGGGAAGGGGTGGGATTCATGTGGCTCTGTTGCCTTTGCTGACTTGTCAGGTTTGAGAGGATGTGCGGGGAGGTTCAGATTCACAGAGCTGCCTTTGCCTCGGTTACCCCTCTTCCCTTGTCCTTTTATTCTTTATGACTCCTCCATCGTCTGCCTGGGCGGGACCACAGTCTCCTCCTGGTGGCATAGATCCTGGACCGCATGGGAGCGAGCTGAGTGGGGAAAAGAGAAGGTGACCGGCCCGGGGTCACTGGTTTGGAACCTGCCTCAGTAACGCCCTCATTTGCAGGCAGGCACTGACCTGAGCTCTCCATTCACACCAGTCCACAGCCTGGCTCCCTTCCCGGGCCCGGGATCATTGGTGATGGACACCAGCTCTCAAGGGGGCAGTGGGATGAGGGGCTCCCTCAGCATCTGAGCCCCACTGTATCAGCCCGAGAATGAGGTCTTATCAGATGGGAGCCTTATACAAATATGGTCATGAATGTTGCCTTCTAGGTATGATGAAATAAGGAAAACTGAAAAGCTATAGGACGATAAGGGCTGTGATTGCGTCAAGCTCAAACTGTGACGGGTGGCATGGGGAGTGTTTCCCCAGACCCGGCACACACCTGGCACGTGCCCCTTGTTTCCCAAGACGTGCAGGTGGCGAATAGACAGTTGATAGAAGCTGTGACTGATATTGTGTATGTCTATGAAGAGACGGATCTTACTTACCATCTCAACTTGGAACAAAATTTATTTCTGGTTTTAAATATATATAATTGCTATAAAAAATTCTGGAACCCAAAGAGCGGAATAAGAATTAAGACCCCCATCATCACGAACTTTTTCAGTTGAGACTCATGCTTAGCAAGCTTGCTTTCTCCCCAGATCTCCCCGTGGCCCCTCTGAGCCGTGGACTGGCCCATTATTTCTAGTGATGTCCTGGGAAACAGTTTTTTATCTCCTTAATGTGAGAAAACCAATTATGATGACTTTATTCCCACGTACTATGAGGGTTACTAAATTAGTCCATCACTGAACAAAATGTCTTAATTCTGGTGTTTGACCCATAGACAAATTTGAAGATCTAAGCTCTTCAGATGAATCCTGCCCTGTTCCCCAGAGACAGAGGCCCTGTCGGAAGAAGGGCCTCAGCATCCATGAGGGGCCTCGAGCCTTGGCCAGGATCACAGCCATTGGACTTGGAGGCAAGATGCAGCGGCCTTGCTGTGGTGAGTGCCCCCACATCCTGCTGGCTCTTCGGCTGTGCATCCCCAACAGTTCTCGGCCTTCTGAAATGTGGGCCCTGGGGGGAGGCTGCAGCTCACAGACTCAGAATTGATTACAGGGATAGAAAGACATTGATCACTGGCTAGCTTCTGGATTCATCCTTTAATTTTCCTTTCCATGGGTTATGTTACAAATAGTATTTTCTCTCCAGCAGTGGAAATACAGCAAAGCTGGGATTTCATTTATCATGTGGTAGGTCAGCTAGTGCAGAGAAAATGTTGAAGTCTGGTCTCTGCCCACTTCACCAGCTGGAGGTGGATGTGTCTCTGGGCAGGCTGTTGCTCTCTTTTCTCAAAGTGCTAGATTGGAGAATTGTCGGGTCGTATACTCTGTGGGCTAGAAGTGAGTTTACTCTCCCACTGTCAACGCCTCATGGTGAACGCAGGGGACGCTGACACTCTCGCTCTGGCCTGACCGAGTGCCCAGTCTTAAGTGTGAGTTATATCTTTGATGTCTGTCACCCATCGGTGGCCAGGCAGTCCTGCTGGTCTAGCAAGGTGGGTGGATGGGCCCATCTCGGGAGCCAGTACCCCTGGACTTAGAAACCGACTTTCCCAGTCAGCGGAGACCATGCTTTGGTCAAGAATATATAAGTTACTCCATTGCCTCCCATGACCCTTGGAAGGAGTCTTAGTGCTGGATTGGGAGCTCCAGACCCACCTTCTCCCATCAGCCACAGAGGGGTGGGCTGACTGGGCCAGTGGGGAAGCTGCCCCCAGCCGTGGTCAGGCTGCTGCTGGGTGAGAGCAGCATGCTCCGGGGCATTTGGCTGGGTGGTTCTCTTGTGAGGAGTCCATGCTGCCTGTCCCACCTGAGGTATGGTGGGGGCACACACAGGAAGACGGGTCTTACCCAGGGTGGGGGGTGGTTATTAACTTGTGTTGCTGTACAACACATGTTTTTTGTTTTTTGTTTTTTTTAAAGATTTTATTTATTTGAGAGAGAGAGAGACTGAGAGAGAGAGAGCATGAGAGGGGGTAGGGTTGGGAGGGTCAGAGGTAGAAGCAGACTCCCCGCTGAGCAGGGAGCCC